CTAGTCCACGGAGAGGAGCTGTCGAACCAATTCTTTCCCAAGAAGGTTGAGGAGTGTTCGCCGGGGTGAGGTATTGTTCGCTCTGTACGGCTGACCGGGCGTTTAGTTGCTTTTCCTTTGCAATCGTGGGATCCCTTTTCTTCCGAGAGTGTGTGTTGTCCTCTTCTTTTTTTAGCCTCGTGCAGGTGCAGCGCATCCTGATGGAGCTCCTCACGCAGATGGACGGATTCGACCAGTCCGTCAACGTCAAGGTCATCATGTGCACCAACCGCGCAGACACGCTCGACCCCGCGCTCCTCCGGCGAGAGACAGCCGAGAGACCGCACAGAGACCGCACAGAGACCGCACAGAGACCGCCGAGAGACCGCCGAGAGACCGCCGAGAGACCGCCGAGAGACCGCCGAGAGACCGCCGAGAGACCGCCGAGAGACCGCCGAGAGACCGCCGAGAGACCGCCGAGAGACCGCCTCGACCCCGCGCTCCTCCGACACGGCCGCCTCGACTGAAGGACAGTCCGAGAGAAAGAGGGGGGGGAGGGGGGGGGGGGGCACCACGACTGAGCCTGGGCCCTATCGCCGGTAGGCCTGGCCGCTTGGACCGAAAGATCGAGTTCCCGATGCCCGGACGGCGCGAGAAGCGTCTCATCTTCCAGGCGAGCCGTGATGCGGCCGAAACGCTGCGGCCGAAATGTAGCCGTGATGATGCGCCGAGGCTGCTAACGGGGGCGGCTCCAGATTCCACTGGCGGCTGAAATGCGCCGAGGTTCGTCGCGCGCGCGCGCGCGCAAAACAGATAGCGAGTGAGCGTCCCTCGCTCTCACTCCTTGTTGTCAGGTCGCCACGGCAAAGATGAATCTGTCGGACGATGTCGACCTCGAGGACTATGTGTCGCGGCCCGAAAAGATCTCGGGCGCCGAGATCGCGTGCATCGTGCAGGAGGCGGGCATGCAGGCGGTGCGCGCCAACCGGTACGTGGTGATGCCAAAGGACTTCGAGAAGGGGTACAAGGCGTCGACGCAGAAGAACGACCAGGAGTTCGAGTTCTACAGGTGAGCGCGCGCCTCGCGCAGCACTGGTTCGCCGCAGCGGCGCGCGCGGCGCGGCGGCCGGCTTGAGAAAGCCAGCTGGCCCGTCTCCAATCTGGCCCGTCAGCGTCACGAGGTGGTCTGCAGTAGACGTGAGAGAGCTTTAACGTTGGGCGAGCGCTGAACAGCAGTAATCAGTACATACATCCTATCATCAATGTTGCTTGTGTCAACAGCAACAACGCACCGCCCGTTACGGTGCGTCGGTAAGGCCGGTGCGCCACACGGAGCGCGAGCGGAATTTGGCGAATATGCGCGCGGAATCCGGAGAAAATCGAGAGAGATGTGTGTCAGAGAAGTACAACGGGCCGGGCTTCAGGCTGGTGCTCACGCGAAAAAAGGAATCGACGCTATGTGCAAAGCATACAAGAAGAGGAGAAAAAAGAGGAGAGGCGCCAGTGATGACGAAGCAGAAACTAGCGCAGACGAGAGCAGGGCAGAACCGGGGACTGGGGAGCCGGAGCAAGACGGCATCGGCCGCCGAGGGAACGTTGGGAAGAGGCACCGAGGAGGGCGGCGACCTCGACCGACTATGGAGGACCCGTCGCCAGACGACGCAGGGCAGAAGACGGTGAGGCGGAGCAAACGCGCAGGGCGAGACGAGGGAGGGAGCAGGACTTTGCGGAGATCAGCAGGAGGATGTACGACGAGATTAGGAGCAGCAGGGACCCGAGGGACCATGTGGAAGACGGCTAGTGCCAGTCCCCCATCGGGAGGACGACCCCGGCTAGTCGCCGACCACACCCACAAAGAACCCTGCACAAAGATCGCAAGGGCGGGGACCTGTTCCTTTTTACCCATCTCACAGTAGAGAGGTGTCCGTTTTATTTATTTATTTATTTAGAAGTACAACA